TACGAATTTACGCACGATGCATTTCCGAAAACGACATCAAAGAGCAATATTTATTTTCCGAACCTCTCCCAACCTTTTATAAAAGGAAAGATGTCTTCAAAATTGTTCGTACATGTAATCGATTGCAAACAACTTGTTGGCATTTCTACAGATGGTGCCCTTCTTAGGATTGACTACAAGTCTGGTTTCAAACTAGGCCTGACTACATGTCCGCTGGAACCGGTCTAGCAGACCACATATTCACGCTTCAGTGGTTCACCTGCGATTCAAATCCGTGCTATCGTCCTACCGAGGAGGTCTGAAAGTGAGCTGCACTGCACTGTCTTGCTCGGTTGCTTCGCCGTGCTACTCGCGAAATCGGAATCGCCGTGATCGAAGGGGTACGGAAGTTTTTTTCTATTTCATCTCTGGTAAGTGAGTTCTTTTTTTCAGCAAATAAAAATTTAGCTAGATAGTGCAAGTTTAATTTAAATCTATTCCGCATTTTTTGTGTCGCTGTTGAACACAAATTTGAAATATCGGTACTGGCGGGATCCCGGTGTGGAGTATTGACATGACAGGTTGTTGTTTTGAAACAGAGAATTGATTCTTAATGTCCAAAGATTTATTGATATAAACTGAGCGCAGTACGACTTCTGTTGATAAACTTCAGTTTGCATTGTGAATTTTACCATACAGCCATACCCTGACACCGGTACCCTTACAGTACAGTACATAGGCCTACCGGCACAAATTCAAACTTTACTGTCGGTAACGTCGCAGTAGTAGGGCAATATTAAATAATGAAAGCGCTTCTGTTTACATATGATGAGCTCACTTCACACAAAGTGTTTGATTGATAAAATGCAACTGTTTTAATTTGGTTTCCAGTAGACTACCGTAATTTTTTGAATGGGTCGTGTGGCAATACTGTACTCTGCAACGTTGAACGCTGAATAGTCGGCCAAAATGATCTAACCCGTCTATCTTTTATGCCCCTAATTAATTTGTCGTTTTGTTTTTAGATTATGGGCAAATTTCAACGGGAAAGCAACCTTTCATCCTATTCTGCAAATACCTTCACAGAACTTCAATCAAGAACGTGCATTTAATTTTGATACTTTAATTAACATTTGTATTGAATTTGTTGAAAATAAAATATATGGTTCCATTACATTTGAACCCATGACAATTGCACCTGTATGCTATTGCATCTATGGAATTTTTTTTGTTTCACGGATAGTTAAACTCATACTAACCCTAACCCATGGGTTTTAGCACCCGCATATAGATTGAACCCGTGGATATACGCATGGTTCAAATGTACGGTCACCAAAATATATATATGCAGTGTTTGCAAATTATGACTCATTTGCTTTAGTCATAGAACCCTAAAACTGTTCTCATCTTGTTGGTTTGGACATGTAATCGAGGGCGCTAAGTGGTCTCCGAGACTACTTTGACTTTTCTAAACCGAACCGGTTTGCTGGGCTAATTTTGATGGACATGTAATCAGGCCTAATTGTAGCTCTCCCCTAGAAGTAGTAAAAAATTGAAATCACATTTTTCAAATGCAACAACGTCAAGGATATTTGCGGCGCTTTGTGAAGAATTCAATGTTGAAGTGCTTTTTTCCACACAAAAGTGAGATGGCGTTCTCATGGAAAATTCTGAATCGTTTGCTCCTGCTGTGAGATGAGGTAACTATGATACTCGAAAGCAGAGGGAGTAGCAGATATATGCGATCAAATGAAAAACAAAGATCCTTTGCTAAACATGGCTTACTTGGGTGATTTAGTGCCTAAATGATCTCCCTGAATTCGAGGTTTTAGAAGGGTTTTCAATGGTTGCACACGACTCGCAACGAAATAGCAGCTCTCAAAAGTAAAATTTAACTGTATGAGAGAATGGCATGACAAAGCAATGGCAGCATGTCCTGGAACATGACAATGAATGAAATCTGATATAAACATGGAATGTAACTTCGCGCATAATATTTCCGACCATTTAAATGCATTAATCAGTGCTATCGAAGTATCGATCAGTAGGCTACTTTTCTGCAATTGAATAACGGCATGAGGACGTGTGGATAGCCAAGCCTTTTTTGGTTGAAGAAAGTACAATTGGTGATGACGATATAGCTGCGGAAGTGGAATTTCTTGGGCTGCGTAAGACTTTGCAATGACATATATTGAAAAATTTCAGGTTGCCTCTCAACATGAATATATTATATCCCATTCTTTCTAAGAAGTAATATTTTTGATTCAGTGCCTTTTAACTTATTGCTGTGAAGTACGATTCTCTGCAATGACAGACATTGACACAAAATATCGAGACAAGCTTATGATTGACGATGGTATGAGACACTCTTTTCACTGAGATTATATCAGGACGTCATTGTTTTATGAAAGGGGTAATTGAGCTTTTGGTAATGGGATTTTGCGATAATAATACTAAAAAGTGTCACAGTCTGAAGATGTTTGTCACAGTTTTTTAAAAGATGTTGCTACTGTGTGTTGAATGAATCAGAAGACTCAGATTCCGGATTTGTGGTTTATTATGAGGCAGCTTCACACTTAAAACAGAGGACACAACAAAACACAGCCGACCTTCAGCGCCGAAAAAAGAGAGAAAGATATAGTTTTCCTCTCACATGTAGTGAGTGGTCGGAGTCCAGATCACTGCACTGAACAAGGGTCAACACCACTGTCCACAAACAAAAATATATATATACACAATATAAACGCGGACGCTATGGTCCGCGAACAAAGTTTGGGAACAACTTGTCTAGAATTTCCTCCGACGTTGGAATTGTGCCTGTGATAGGATCAATATAACGATTGATCGTTAAGTCTTTTTTGTCTAGTTCAAAGAGTCCCGTCACTGCTTCCCCCATTCGGAAACCCTAAGCAAGCTGTTTCCAAAAATAAAGCAAATTTCAAAGTGTAGGTGCGGTGTAGGTCTAAGAATTGGGCCTTGGGGAACTCCAGAAAAGATTGCATGTGTCCGGGAGCGATGGCCATTAAGAATAACAACTCCAATTTGGCGATCAGTGAAAATATGGTTTAATGATGGAAAAAATCTGACCAGGTATATCATAGGATCGAACGTGCAGGCGCCGTTCCGTCACGGATGTAAAGCGATACAACAACAACAACATTGCTAAATAATGTATATTAAATCGGAGACGGTCCAAGAGAACATTTTTTAGAACCAAGGCGAGTATACTGTCCAAGATGGAAGCAGTCGAGAAGCTGGACTTGGTAATTGCGTGAGAAATCATGCCAGGTGTTTACCGAATGTTCATTCAAATTGATACCGGTAAGTTAAAAAAAATTAGAAGTATTATACTGATTTGAAGTAAGACAGCAGTTTCCCGAAAATGATTTGCTCAGATTTTTTATTGAATTCTCTTTGGCCTATAAATGCTTCAATATGATTAAACAACGAAATATGAGTAAATATTTCGTTTTTAAATACAAGAATCATTTTTTACAGAAATTCCAAGTATCCCAAAAAAATACAACTGGTGTTTCCAAAATCCCAGGAATAGCAGAAGTAATCAACAGAATTGCGAGAGATTCTATAGCAAATGGCGTAGGGTAAACAATATACACAACCATTTAATTAATACTTTACAGCCTAGGATAAAACAAACATTGACCCGCGGCCACACGAACACGCATGAGTGAAAACAAATCACGAGCAATTAGCATAAAATTTTAATTGTTCGGTTTACTCGCATACTCATATACTATTAGTACAGAAACAGGGAAATAGATTCTCGGGGAAATATCATGTGGGAACCAATCCGCGGCTGTTAAAACTGGTAAATAGTTTCCAAATAGCTGCATCTTGAAATCCACCAAATAGGTTTCGTGTTTATTTTCGGGATCAAAAATAGACCACAAAGCACTGGTAAAATACGAACGATATAAACAGGGCAACGGTTCGGTCAATAACTTGACAATGGAAATGTTCCATCAATATTTTAATCATTATGGAATTCCTCGTGACACAATTCACGTTATCTTGACTTACTGACTGAATTTCACAAGGGTCATCACTTTGAGGCTTTAAATTCTGGTACTTCTTATGATTAGGATATTAGCGTATCGCTCCGGGTGAGTGGTCGTTGCTGCTAGCGCCCGTTCATAATTCAGGAAAATAAGCAGAAAAGTCCAACTTCGCGGTATCTACCGAGACATCTCGGAAGCACGTTCAACTTATCATAACTGACACGAGTGAAACGTGTCTTTTCATTGTTACTTGAAGGCGGAGTAATACGCTTGAGTAATCTTGTTAACGTTTCGCCCATTGCGAAATTGTTTTTTCATAAGACTTACCTGATGTTGGGCACATTTATAAACACTTTGCACATTTGTTTACTTAACAATCTTCTAAGCCACGTATGCATTAAAAGAAATCCGTTTCGTCGTATCCCAGAAGTGATTTTAGTAGTACTGTGTTGCATTGTTGTCGCAAGAGACAGCTGATTCATATTCTATCACATAACAGCTAATGCATGACGATTCATATTTGAACCAATCACAATGCACCACAGATATTTCATTCGACCAATCAGAGATCAACACACGAGCCATGTGCCGAAATATGAGCTACAACCGCGGTGAACGCACTCGTTCTAAATTATTTTACTGGCTTGGACATCGGCCGTATGCATTGAAGGTTTTTTGAACGAAATTTGGGAGTTTTAGTATATTAACATCAGACTGCTTTGTAACTGCAGAATTAAGCATAAAGACGCAGTACCAGTATAGTTATAAGTACCGGTACTGAAATGTAACTAACGTTAATTCTTTGTGGTTTGTTTTGAATGTAGCCTAATTAATTTGTCTTCTGACATTGATATTCTGTTACGGTATCGGTCCGCTCAAGTTTGTATATATATACAGAGTTGAAGTACAGATGCACGTCTATCATACGTCCTGTACATACAGGCATATTAAACCTGTAAACTATAAAACTACAGAACTAAACTTGAATTTCTGAATTCATGTAAATTTTTCAGTTCATTTAGAGTAAATAAATTCTACTATTCCACTGATTCGAGACGTCATCTGGTAGTCAATTTGTACATTTCTTGTTTTCATCTGTTGGTAAAAATTCTTCATAAAAGTCATCTTCAACCGATTGAAATCTCAAGTACCGGTAAATATTCAATGGTGAGCAGAAAAAGAAAATGTGTCAAGTTTTATTCCTGTACCGTATTCATTCTAGTATCCGAATACAAGAATATTGTATTCAATCATTAAGTCTGGTAGTTGAAGTGTCCCACATGAAGTTCTGATTATTTTGAAATTTATTATTTTAATTCAGTAATTGTAGTAAGGTAACTATCTTAGACCTAGATCAACTTAAGTTTCATTGTAGACAAAAGTTCATTACGTTTTCATCTCCTAATACTGTAATATGTGACTGTTTTACCATGTTTCAGATGAAATTGTCATTACTGTTGGTGGCGCTCTGTGCCGTTTGTACATTTGCTGCTGAAGAGCAGAAGAAAGAAACTACTAAAGAATTAAATTATGGAACTGTCATTGGTATCGACTTGGGAACAACATATTCTTGGTGAGTATAAGAAATATGTTGCTCGCTCTAATAATTATTAATAATGTTGATCATTCAACTTTTATTTCTTATAAAATATATATATAACTTATACCTTTTTCAGTGTCGGAGTTTTCAAGAATGGTCGTGTAGAAATTATTGCTAATGATCAAGGTAATCGTATCACACCATCATATGTTGCATTCACTGAGGAAGACAGGCTCATTGGTGATGCTGCGAAAAATCAGCTGACGTCCAATCCTGAAAATACAGTTTTTGATGCAAAACGTCTTATTGGTCGTTCTTGGGATGAAAAATCTGTTCAGAGTGATATCAAATTCTTCCCTTTTAAAGTAGTTGAGAAAAACAAGAAGCCACATATCAAAGTCAACACAAAAACTGGTGAAAAGGTTTGTATTGCAATATTGTTCTCGGCTATCTTGAATATATGAATGTGAATAAAATATTATGTCTGTGACTAATGCTTAAAATTTGTGTTAGTCAAAATGTTCTTTAAAAAAAATGCTCTGGTCTGGTTGTGGATACTTTATGACAATTTCTTCTTGTTTACAAACTAGGCGTTATCTTATGAATTGGATATGCATATTATCCATTTCAATTTTTAAGTGGCTCATCTTTCTTCCTAGTAATTCCGTCTTTCGAATTAAATAGTTGACTTTGTTTTCTAGACATTTGCATCTGAAGAAATCAGTGCCATGGTTTTGGGCAAAATGAAAGAAATCGCAGAGGCATATTTGGGAAAGAAGGTTACTCATGCTGTTGTTACAGTACCAGCTTATTTTAATGATGCTCAAAGACAAGCAACAAAAGATGCAGGAGTTATTTCTGGTCTGAAAGTCTTGAGAATCATTAACGAGCCGTAAGTTCTGGTTTTGTGTATATAAGTCCCATGCTCTTTATGATTTGGACATTTTTTTAGAAAATTTTTTTTATATGCAGAACTGCAGCTGCCATTGCATACGGTCTTGATAAAAGAGAGGGAGAGAAGAATATCCTGGTCTTTGATTTGGGTGGTGGAACTTTTGATGTATCTTTGCTTACAATCGACAATGGTGTTTTTGAAGTAGTTGCCACAAATGGAGACACTCACTTGGGTAGGTTTCATGAGATATAGTCTGATGGGTGTAAAAACTTTACTCTCAAGGAACTTGAATCAACTTAATCAGTATGAGTCTGCCTTTGTTGATGAAACAGCTCAATCAATCATGCTTTTGATCCAACCGTTTTTGTGATCCTGATATAAGAGCACCCTGAGCTGCTTTACCTTCACATATTTCTGTGGAAAATATGTATGAAAATACTCTAAAGCAGGGGTGGGCAAGGTTTTTGAACCAGGGGCCAAAAATTTTGCACACCTACACTGGCGGGCCATGTGAGTGTGGTGGCATAAAAAAAAATACATTTTAGGATTATGAACAATATTTACAGTGTTACAAAAGCAAAAGTGGGAACCGGTATGAATGCCTTGTGCCAAAACTAAATTCAACCACAATCTCAACAAATACATGAGCTATATTTAGCTAAAACATCAAAATGTTTGTCGGATGTCGGTTTGGTTGTGGCAGCATCGGGCGGGCCAGATTGAATTACCCAATGGGCCGTACTTTGCCCATGTCTGCTTTTAAGGCAAAATTTTGTCGAATGATTCGCGAGTCTCTTATTGAATATCACTTGTGTATTTATAGTAACCAATGCCTATTTTATATAAAGGTGGCGAAGATTTTGATCAACGTGTTATGGACTACTTTTTGAAATTGTACAAGAAAAAGAAGGGAAAAGATGTAAGAAAGGATAACAGGGCTGTACAGAAACTCAGAAGAGAAGTGGAAAAAGCAAAACGTACTCTTTCAACCCAACATAGCGCCACAGTTGAAATTGAAAGTTTCTATGAAGGCGAAGACTTCTCAGAGACATTGACCAGAGCTAAATTTGAAGAATTGAATATGGTAAGCCCTGGCATGTCAATTTTTTCATCATTTGGTTACAACACTGGTTAAGATGTTTCCGATTTACCTGTTTGGCGCAAATCTTGTTTTTCGAGAATGAATTCTTGTAGGGGTAATCCTTTTTGATAATATCACTTGTTCACTGTAGGGTGTTTCACAAAAATATTTAACCTAACGTTAATTGTTTTATTTTGCCAGGATCTTTTCCGTTCCACTATGAAACCAGTTCAAAAAGTCTTGGAAGATTCAGACTTGCAAAAGAAGGAAGTCCATGAAGTTGTATTGGTGGGAGGATCTACTCGTATTCCTAAAATCCAACAACTTGTTAAAGAATTCTTCAACGGAAAAGAACCAAACCGTGGTATCAATCCTGATGAGGCTATCGCTTTCGGTGCTGCTGTACAAGCTGGAGTATTGGGCGGAGAGGAAAACACTGGTAAGAAGGTTTTTGTGGCAACCATAATTACATGGTCATTTGATTCTAAAATTTCTACATTTTAGTTGGATATTTTCGATAAAGCATTATTGTGTTATACTTTTGACTAACTACATGTCAGTATATAATTTTTTGTTGTTTGTTTCATTCAGGTGATCTTGTCCTGCTTGATGTCTGCCCTCTCACTCTCGGTATTGAAACAGTTGGAGGCGTCATGACCAAGCTCATCCCTCGTAACACTGTCGTCCCTACCAAAAAATCTCAGATTTTCTCAACTGCTTCAGACAACCAACCCACTGTGACAATTAACGTTCTGGAAGGTAAGCAATTTAATAAGCATTAAGAAGAGTTCGTCTTCAAGACTTGACGATATGACTCTCATTGAAAAAGAATTTCCGTTGGTATATTTTCTAACTTTTTGATTAAATTCTTAGGTGAACGTCCAATGGTTAAAGATAACCATCATCTTGGTAAATTTGACTTGACTGGAATCCCACCTGCACCGAGAGGAGTACCTCAAATCGAGGTAACCTTCGAGATTGATGTGAACGGTATCTTGAGAGTATCTGCTGAAGACAAGGGAACTGGTAACAAAGAAAAGATTACCATTAAAAACGATGATAATAGACTTTCAAAAGAAGATATTGAACGTATGATTAAAGATGCAGAGACTTATGCAAGCGATGATCAGAAGGTTGGTAAATAGAACATGTTTATATACTTTCTTTCCCAAATTCCTAAAACTCCAGTTTTCTGAAAATAAGTCGTTGAGTGGGGAAATATAGGATATTAAAGTTCCATGCCAAAAGTTGCTGTCGTGGCTTTTTGCTCATGTGATGAGACTAGTAATACGACAAGTGGTCATCAAGATGCACTACTTTTTGTTTGAGATTTTAATCTCATATTTGTCTCTATTTTACTGGAGGAGAACTTATTGGTGATGCCTATTGGGTTATTGAGAGTAGCTTCACTTACTAAATTTTTCTCAGGTGAAAGAAAAGGTAGAAGCAAAGAACGAGATTGAAAGTTATGCTTATTCTTTGAAAAATCAAGTTGGCGATAAAGAAAAGCTTGGCGGTAAACTCTCTGATGAAGACAAGGAAAAGGTAACAACTGCTATCGATGAAACTATCAAGTGGATTGATGAACATCAAGAGGCTGAAAAGGAAGAATTTGAAGCGCAGAAGAAAAAATTAGAAGAAATTGTTCAACCCATTGTTTCTAAGATTTATCAAGGTGCTGGTGGTGCAGAAGGTGAACAACAACAACAACAGCAAGAAGAAAAGGACGAGTTGTAATAAGACTCTCAAAAAAAACTGAAAAAAAATATAGGATTAATCGGACTTCCGCTCTGGGTATTGGGAGTCCAACGTATGCAAAAAGAGATCGTATATAATGCACTTGTGAAATCAAGTGGTTAATCAGGACGACTACTGGTTTTTTCCATTGTTAATTTTCAATTAGCGATCTTTCCGTACTGTGTATTTAGACGTGAATAACGGCATCTTCCGTTAACACCCTTGCAGTCGACTTTTCTTGTGGCTACTGCTTTACGTTGTCGCGATATTTGGATTTTGTTCTCTAGACATTATTTATTTGTTAGAAAATATTATGCGTTGACTTTCATAACATGGTCTATTTTGGAGATTGTGCACAATATGAGCGAGTTTTGATAAAATTGCTGGTTTCAGTTTAGTTGTATGTCCTAGTCAGATTAGTTACTAGTATTTACCCCTGCCATGGTTATTTAATTCTTCTGCCAGGTTAATGTTCTGACAGTAGCGACTTGGAATTGTTCCATCTCCTACCAACCACTGTGTGAAGTGGATATCTCCCATGTCATGTACTGCCTTTACCGGGTTGGTTGTCGCCTGATTGGCGCGAGTCAAGTATATACTTTATGAAGGGTTTCCGAATCCAGGAGTCTGACTTTGCCAGGTCACAGACCGTAAAAGTCTGCCTATTTGTTTATAGCTTCTGACGTCCTATTAATGCCCTTAAACATTGTAATTCTACTGCGGAAATATGCATCTAAAATGAAGAAATAATCGCCTTCTGCATGGTGAGTTCTGAAGCAATTTAAAACGTTTATGACTTGTAGAATTTGCGGAGCGCCTGCTAAACAGTCAGTACAGAAAATTCCAAACAAGGAAATTTTTAGTATCCTGAATCCGAAAAGATTAAATCCGCATCAAGTAATCGGTATTTATTCCATCGTCTTAAAGAAACTACGTTTTATGTGAACAGTAGAAAGAGATTTGAATATGGCATTTCAGGGTGAAATGTGGCTCGAGATACCAAAACTGGTTAACGAGCAGCGGCACCAAAGTTACTTTAAAAAGACATACCTATCACACATTAAGGATGTAAACACATCTCAGTAGTCCATAGTTGTGATAGGCGCATCTAGAAATCGAATCCGATTCGAAAATACGAATGCAAATCATAAAAAGCTAAGCATAGTTTAACGATACACAGCGATTACTATGAGCATATGCCATATTCTACTTTTAATTTGGACAGATCACTTTCCCGTCCATATTTTTTATAATCCTTTATTCAATATTTATGACAGGGGCCGGCAACCTACCCGCGACGCTTCACTACATGATAGTAACAAAACATCCGTTTTGACGAATATATTCTTTAGACTAAATTAGATTATAACCTAACAATTATATAATTCACAATTACTCGTTTAATAAGCATATAATTTAACTATAATTAAGCAAATGGCAACAAAACGCAGAAAGTTGATGCTAAGTGCAAAGGGTTCAATGGCGCTGAAAATATTCAAATGGAATTTTATAAGATGCAATGAGGATATAAATCTATATTCTATTCGAGAGATGTATCACTGCTTGGTTTTTATTATAAAAAGTACCATCCGTTCGGTTTTTCAACTTTCTTAAAATATCTGCGGCCCGCCAATGACTTACAACCTTAATTTTGGCCCGCGAGCGACAAAAGGTTGCCAGCCCCCAAATTTATGACATTGTCTGAATATTTAGGATTCAATTCTTGCACCTTAAGAAGGCCTACACCCCGCTATAAAAACCAGCCCTTTATTTTTGTTTATACCCTGTAGGCCAGGGTACAGGGTCACCAACCCGTTGCCCGCGGGCACCAAGTCGCCCGTGAAGACCACATGAGTCGCCCGCAGGTCTGTTCCGAAACAAGCTTAATAACGGCGCTTATCAGTAAGCTACATTAATCAATTGTTGTCCTCCTATTCTTGTACTAATCACACATATATGGGAACTGGGAATGGCACTATATTGATTATTGTAACAATCACCCTGATTTGACCTCAGCAATGTGATGGGTTATTTTTTAATAGTCTTCCGATTATGACTTCACACAGATTACCCCTTTCCACTAATCCGCGTTTTTTCACGTTCAGTTCTAATTATTCTATGCCGTCTAAAGCTGCCGCAAAACCACGGCGGTATTCCCGAACCATGGCCCACAATGGCCAAGCGAAGACTCACGGTGACAGACTTTTTTGCTGCCACATACCAATAGAGAGCTGCCGTTATCGCGGCAGCAAATTGAAAACCAATGGCATGTAAAATTTTCCTGCCGGTCGGCCGTAAAGACAGAACTGCCCCTGACGGTGACAAATATTGAGACTACTGTTTGGTTCAACTGTTCAACCTATCTTTGTGAATCAACAATTTTTCATATGTACTTCACCAGGAACAAACTCGGAACACGCCTTTCTGATGATCTGCAAGTCTCGCTCAGTGTTAAAGTGTCAAGTTACGCGCCGCAGTACAACACTCTGTAACATTTGATAGTACAACTGTTGAGTCCATTTTATCCTAGGCTTGTGCAGAGTGTTTGTCAATAACCCAATTTGAAAACACTCAGTTTCAAAATGCAACGCAAGTGTCATTGATAGAAATTATTTCAACGTTGTGATAATCGTTTGATTTCCTGAAGAATCCAAGAGTTTATCAGTGGTCTACTTGACTAAATACCAGTAATTAATAATAATTTAGGCTTAATCGAGCAAACTGACTTTTTTAAAAGTGTACATTGAACTGGTAGCCCTCGGCTTAATCTGTACCCAGAAATTAGCCCTCGGATTCGAAAAGGTTGGTGACCCCTGCTGTAGGCTATACAGTGTACAGTTTACCAAGGGTTCGTAACTCTTGCAACTTTGCGAGCCTGCTAAACTCTTCGCTATTCCGTAATCTCCCGTCGAACTCAATCGTGGTTGAAACTAGGAGCGAGAGCATACCTTTATAAAGGGGGGAGGGCTGATCTTCTGCAAGGTTATAGCAACTGATCTTTGTTGTGTAACTGTAACAGATCCCAATACCGGCATGGAAGTAAATATTAATGTATCACAATGGTGTCGGCGACAAGAAAGCGGGAGAAACAGGTAGTTTTGTTGTATATGCGGGGGAACATGCAGGGAATATGACGGCGCGGCGGTGTGGCTCATCGTGCTAAGCGTTAGGAATACGCTCGCCACCGCACCTCTGATTACTCTGCGTGGGTTCGCAGGTCCGAATCCCATGCGGGATCGTTATGTGCGACAGGATTACTGGACTTCTCGCCGCCGTAGGGTGGTTCACGTAACCGCTGGTCGGTTACGGCTTCCTCTACCATCAAGTCCATGCTTCCGGAAACAAATAATCAACTAATCCCATACCCGACATGGAATGGTAACCGGACGAGAGGCCGTGGTTCCCCATATGGTTATTGGTTAAGCCGTTTTATCGGCTTTCTTCTCCTCTGGGATTAATACGTAAATCCATATCTATATCCAACACGCGAAAAACTTATAAAGCGAAAATTGGTGATCCAAAAGATGACAAGCTAGGCCAGTGGTTCCCAAACTATGGGAAACTAAAGGAATCTTAGTGGGACGTGGAAAGATGTAGAAAGCATTAAAAAAATATAATGGTTATTAGGATTGGTGGCGACTCGAATACGTAAATCTTCGAAAAAACAAAATACCGTAAATTAAATTCTAATCTGTCAAATTTTCCTTTTTTACGCATAGCAGTTTTGTGCACTGTACAGCACTTCTTACCGTTCAGGCCAGGTCTTATTTTCGAGGAAACACGGTAGTTTTACGATGATTAGCCATTGCTGTGTTCTGTACGGTATGTTAGTCGTTTGTTCTGTATTATGTCCTAAAAAATTTAAATGGGTCGCCATAAGCTGTGGTAATAAATAGTGGGTCGCAACCCTAAAAAGTTTGGGAACCACTGAGCTAGGCTATTTTATGAGTTGTACGTGTAAGTTCATATATCTGCGATGAACCATAGTTATTTTTGCATAATCAGTAGGTTGGGTAATAGAAGGTTTACATTATATACGGTAGTAGTACATATTTACTGTACAACTGTTTAAGAAGACGTCGAACCCCTGGTTAAAAAAAACATCAAAATACGTCATTCCTATCCTGAGCGCAAGAGGTCAGGGGTGATACAAGTCTGTTAGCGACCTCGGCTCTGACGCTTGGTGAGATAGATAGTGTTTGCTGTTTGGGTGGAAAACCTAATAATGCTTGACAAGGACCAGGAAATGGCTCAAGAAGAAACGTTTAGATGGAAGTCAATATCTTATACACATGTTGAATATGAAGAAGGTGAGCTGTGTTCTTTTGTAAAATATATGCTAATTTTGCAATTAATATACCGGTACCTAACTTATACCGGTACGGTACCGGTAATGTTAAACGTGAGCTTTGGAGCATGCTAATAGTAATACTTTAATAACACACTCCAGCACTCTGATTTTAGAAGCAAACCCGGAGTCAAGATATTTTTAATTAAATATCCCAGATACTAAACTTTTTTATTAATTTACCTGATTTGGGATACCGGTATGCTTCAACATTTGTCTGCAGAAGTTGACAGATTTATCTACGACTCAATGTCTTCCCATATGCACAATATACCGGTATTATTCCGTCCAAGTTTGCATCTAAGATAGTAAAAGTAATATCCATAGCAAAACAATAACATTTTGATTGAGTGTATACATACAGACATATTTCAAATGTCTGAATGTTGTAGTAATTTCCATACTCAGAATCCATTATATTTCTTTGTGATTAAATAGATCATAATATTCTTATTTCCTGGTATAATTTCCAGTTTCTCATGATTATTTTGAATATTTTGTTAAAATTCTTGAAAATTTTACTGAGTTTCATTTTCAAAGAGCAAACATTTTGTGTTCAGGTGATTTATTCGGAAAACTATTGGCATGGACAAGTCTTACTCCAATATTTATTATGGTTGGATTTGCCACCCACATATATTTTCGAAGAGAAGTGCATACAGTAAGTGGTAATAATACTACCTGTATGCAGTAATAGTATTACCAGTATGTAGTAATGGTAACCCCTTATGTTTTATGTAACTTGATTGATATAATTCTGCTTACTCTCTACACGATTCTGACATAAAACTGCCTTCCGTCACAAGGTAGCAAATTTTTACATTATTATGTCATTTCTCTAATTATCCATGTTTTTTTATTTTATTATTTCGCCATTAATAGAATTTAGTATGTATTTATTAGTTAATAAAATATTTTACAGATAACGTACATGATCGGTCAAGTGTTAAATGAATTATTCAACTCCGTACTGAAGAATGTTATCAAAGAACCTCGACCACCCAGCTCACATGGGGGAAATCTGAATATATATGGGTGGCCTTCTGCTCATTCCCAATTTATTTGGTTTTTCATTACTTATTTATTGCTTTTTATATATATCAGGTGAGTATTTGTTTGACTAGATATATAGAAATATTACGATGACATCTGTTCCATCTAAAACTGTACTTCTATGCACATCCCCTCAATAAAACGTCTGTTATATTGACAGCTCAATTGGGTATACAGCTCTGATTTTCAATGGCTTCACTTTCCCAGTAGAGTTTATGTATTTCATGCAAATCATATATTTGGTGTCTTAATAAAAATAGAGTACCATTAAATATCTATGCCTTGTACGGGAACAACAAACAACATGTGTTATATCCTGTTTTCACTGACTGTTGAAATTCTGTGTGTTTTTGGCCTAAATTGCTGATGCTATTGATTGATCTATATATATGAATATTACATTGTTCATTCCACATATTCACATTTTTCTAGGTCACAGAGCAATAACAGCACACTAGACACACTGTGGAAACATGCCATGTTCTTCTTATGCATTTCATTCGCTATTTGTGTATCATATAGTCGTGTGTATCTTGTGTATCACACGACTTGGCAGGTGTTTTGCGGGGGTGTGCTAGGCTCTACTGGAGGTTTCATTTGGTTCATATTGACACAGGTAATTTCATGCATTTTATTTTGTTAGTTTTTTTCCAAGTTTATGGTATATGAATCAAACTTCATTTTTTCAGACATTATTCACTCCGTTGTACCCAGATATTGTTAATTTAAAACTATCTGAAGTACTTTTGTTGAGAGATTCTACTTTGATCCCGAACATTATGTGGTTTGAGTACACGACGTCAAGACAGGAGTCCAGGTTACTAGAATCTTATGCATTTTTATAAAATTTATCAATAAGTATTTTTTCTGGAATTTTACATCAATTCAATGTCATCAAAAGCTAGTTCGCAATGTCAATTCCATCAGTGATCAAACATAAAGCTCATATTAACTTTTGCAACCTGGGGTGTTTGACCTATAATAGCGAACTTATTGGGACACTGCACTAACTCCATGTGCGCATGCTCAGCTATACAGTGCAATTACATGAAAACTGGCAATATCAATAGGCTGGTATCTCCTCCCTGACTTTATGGAATATTTATTATCCATAACTGTTTACTTTCATCTCAAGTTACAAATCCATCCTACCCATCTTACATATTGCATTGGCTTATTCAATTGTTTATTATTAGTTTAAATTAAAAGCTTTGTGTTCGAATGGTATTTTTTATTCAGATCAAGACTGAGAAAGATGCCAAACAAAGTCCAGTGAAAATGTGCAATTTGTTGGACTTGGCAAAAAGTGGAGTTCAAAGATTATCAGAAGAATGGTTGAAATATTAGTAGAATATGTATGAAGATGGTGCCTACGTTGTTGCTTGATTTTATAAATAATTTTTCTAATTTCCTGGACCAAATATGAACAATTTTATTTCATTGCGATACGGGTACAAATTAGTGTTTACCTCTAACAAAAAAAAATTTGCACGTTTGCTGCCATTTGTATCATTTTATAATCACGTTTTGAGTAAATTAATCTAATAACAATGTTTTCACTAAGCTGTCTCACATTTTGTTTGAGTAGTGTACAAGCATATTACTATTAGGGAGGGCGCTGAAATAGGGTACACATCATTTTGTCCAGTCCTTGGATTATGTTTTTAAAAACTGATATTTCTGTATGAACATACATAGGCAATGTGTTACAAGCTTCTTCAAATTTATCTCCCTCTTGCCAACGGCTACACAGGACGATTCCCAGAAAATAGTAACGTTGACGCGCGCTCCTCTGGTGTGATTTTACCTTTCGGTGCATGAAACAAAATCAAACTCCTCCACCAATAGATTGTCCCCTCACGTCTTTTGAAGCATTTCAGTTCCGGTTGTTCTTACAAAAGAAAAAGTTGGTGTATGGTGAAACTTATTTGCAAGAGCGGATAATTTAGAGTTTAGACTTGTAGTTTGCTTTTTAGATTATTATGAAATCATTTCGACATTGCTGCGACGCTACAGTGACATCTGTGAGGCTCTAAATGTAAGAAACGTGTTCCGCAAGAAAACCAGCCCTGAGGAAGGAGACTGATGAGGTTTAAATCAATGGTTCCCAATCAAGGTCCATGGACCACCAGAGAGTAACAATAAAATTTTGGATGCTCATGAGCAATGTTCCCTCTAATTTTTTGTAGTACGTGTGCGCAGAAATTTTGGTGTGTGCGCAGAAATTTTGGTGTGTGCACACTTTTTTGGAAATGAATAATATTTGTGCAAAAACCAATGAAGAAATTTTGGCGTTCTAACCGGGTAATGGGTGGGCCAACAACAAACTTTCTCAACCTGCCAACCGAGAACATTGTTACATTACATCGAAATACGTCTGTGCGCAGTAAATCTATGCGTGTGCGCAGCCCCTGAAAGTTGTGTGCACGCGCACACCTTAGAGGGAACACTGCTCATGAGTTTTGAATGCATATTGCATTGAATAGTAATATGCAGTGGCGGCGCGTGGTCATTTTGACAACCGGGGCAAGCTACTGCGGGACCAAGTCACCCCAATCTACGGGGATAGGATGAGCGCTGTAAGTTCTCCCATCATTTTATGAGTATAAAAACCATTCCATCGGTAACAACCAATCGGCAAAAGCGACAATTTTTAACGATAAGAAAGTGTCTTTAAAACCGGTCCAAGTCAAGGGATTAATAAATATAGACATAGTTTATTTTGAAACCTCTTTCAAAAGGAAAGGCAATATTTACCCAGATAAACAAAATGACATATTAACAGAAACTTCGGGAAAGCAGACAAAACCTAAAATAAGGTTTAAAACGTTACTATGAAGAAAGGAAAGGTAATGCAAAGATAAGGACATGCGTCGCTCACTCATAGATATATATGCTGCTAGACTTCTACTGCTTGAACATATATGCAACACGCCGCGGTTTCTTGGAAGCAAAATGCTCAATAACGCGCTGATTAAAGTCATGCATCCCAGAAATAACGTCTCTGTGAATGGATAAAACAGCTAAGGAATTTAATTTATCTTGCTTCATTGTGTTTCTGAGATACGTTTTAATACGCTTCAGCGTGCTAAATGTTCGCTCTGCGTCGGCGGAAGAAATAGGCGTCGTCAAAATGATGTCCAGAAATTTTGCAGACGCCGCAAAGGTAGTTACTAGAGTGTTATCTATGAGGAACCCATAGAGCGCGCAAGTTGATGTGATGCTCAAAAAAGTTTGATTGGTGTATATACATCGCAATTCATTTCCCAATTTACCCACGTTTATCATGGGGTAAAATTTGGCGAAAACGGAGTGCGAAGTAGTGCATCAACCTTATTCATTATGAGGTCTAAGGCTAAGAAATGGGAAGCCGGAAAGAAGTGAGGAGCTCAAAAGGAATGTGGAAAATCGAAAGCAAATGGACTAAAGGTCTCTAACTGATTCAAATAGCGAAACAAGCGACAAAAACGAAGGCGAGGAAACTATCAACTCTTCAAGCAACCAACGAACGAGAAGGAATGCGTGAATATGTCAACACGTTGCTGTAAGAAACGTCGACATTGTGTCGTCATAATTTCGGGGCTAGCCCCGATGATTTAGTAAAAGAAACAGAAAATAAACGAGACAAACGCGGCGAGTGGAAGATAAAAGAGAGAATACGATATACAATGAGCAACCGGGGCAAAATCGGCGTCGCCCCGTCGACGTTCGGCGAAGGCTTTGCGAGCGAAAAATGAACCATGTCGGGAGAATATGGCTAGTGTAGACAGTCTGTGCAACCGATATTGAGGTATTTTTCGAATATTTTTTATTATACCGAAAAAACAACCGGGGCATTGCCCCGGTTGGCCATATTGACGCGCCGCCACTGGTAATATGGATGTACCCCAATTGCGGTCAGATCACCAAAAGGCGACAAATCAAGGCTGTTGCCTATTAATACCGTACATGAAAAGGTTTCTGATAGAGCACATTTTATATTATTCCCCTTCAGAGCAATTTCTGTGTGCATTTTCATTGGAAAGCTTTGTTTCCAGTGGGTGTCACTTGTGGAGATCAATAATGTCCGTTCTATTATACTTTCATGCAAATTATCGTTCAATGGCATTGAAATAGTTGGAACCCACTGCTATAAATCGTATGGCTTCTAGTACGGTTTTCGATCTTTATTCTTGTATAATTTTTATATAAACAAAAATGCTTAATTCGCAAAACTCACCCTTTCTTATAAAAACGGCGGCAATAATTTGCAAAAAAAAAACGAAAACTAAAGTGAAAATTTTGAAGAAACGAGATAGAAAGACGGAGTGGCAGCGACAACAAAATGTTCAGAAAGACAGATATATATGTCAATAGAAACGTGTAACGAATCTCGAAATTGGGGACGAAATATAGCGCCGTGTTGGACGCAATCGAAAACAAAAGGCAAATGTACCGCAATGAAATTTGGCTATCGTTTTGTCCGATGAACCCTAACCTTTTTATTTTATGACTCTTTTTTATACCCCAATTTAGCCCAACGTTCCCCGGTTCACTTACATTGGGGAATTTCCCCGCTATCAGTATGTTCCCCAGCTTTTCTCTTTAGGGGGGGGGGGGGGGGGGGGTTCAAAATTGAGGGGGTGGTAAATAATTTGCTATTAGAGATAAAACTAGGCTATTTGCATTCTTAAAAAAATGGTATGTATTTAAGAAACGATGTACATGGGGGCCCCCCGAGTTGATTGCCGGCGAGCCAAAATCCACAGCAGAATGAAATTGTAGGGCCAGAAAAGGGGAGCGAGGAAAAGTGCGGGACGACACGGCTGGGGTTCAGGGCGCGCTTAAGCGCCCTGAGAAAATTTTGAGAAATAGGCACCAAAATAGGCTCTAAGCTTGATTTTAGATACACCTAGCATCGAAGTTTGTTATGTAATAAAATCAATAATTATAATATTTACCTGATAGAATTATCAGGGAATAGATAACAAGCACGGCTTTCAACCGAAAATATATACTACTACGTTTCAACAAGTAATTTGCAACTGATAGTGACTAATGAAGTTACTTGCTCATCTGGCATTGTATGAATGGCTACTTATGGCTTGTTTTGTTACACATTTCTAATTTTTTTGAACATGTTTGTTTGACTTTTGTATGAATTAAATTTTGAAATACGCTCGTCAACTGATCATGATGTCGCATAATGTTGTATTCTTTCAGAACTGAAATATTTTGTAAGGAGTCAAATCGCTGAAGTTTGATTCTTTTCAATAAAGAAATAAAAACGCTGTCATTCATCTAAAAAACGTCTGTTTTCAGTTCCTAGTTTTCGTTTTGTGACATCTTTAAGCTTTCTTAATATATGGCTGATATCTAAAATACTGCAGTGTGTAATCATAATACCCATACCTATACATAAGATACCGGAATAATTCAATTGTTACGAAATAAACGTGCTTAAACTGTGATAATGATGTAACAATAGACGGTATCTAAAACTCAAAAGGTACCAGGCCACATGAAGGGTTAAACTATTTCACTCAAGTTCGGCGGGCCATTTTAAATCGTCACGCGGGCGTAATTGACCCGCAGACTGCGGTTTAGAACCCCTCAGTGTTGAATCGCACCTCAAAATTAGGGGGGTGTTTGAAATTTTAGGGGGAGTGTTCACCCCCTATAGGGGGTGGGGGGGGGGGGGGGTGTAGGGAAATCACTGCCCGCTATAAAGTGTGAAACAGATGACAATGTATTCGAATGAATGCGAGCGCTGTTTTGTCACATCGACCATATCAACTAAAACTGTATTGTTAATGAATCTTCATTGATTTAATAATACAGCGTGGTTGAATTTGCGATCATTCTCCTGCATAGTTTTCGACAAAGATCACAGGTCTTTCCGGAAAGTGGAAAAAATCGTCTCAAGTTTTTGTTTAATTTTTGCTTCTCTACTACAAAACATGAAAACACTCAACTAGAAGGAGTGAAACATAAAACACGAACGCTAATAATAATCAACATTCGGGCGGTCCTTCTGAATATGAATACGAAACGTGCCGAGTACAACCATCAACTCAACCAAATTGACCAACTGGTGTCCGGTTCCGGCTTCGTTCACCATCAAGTTCGTGTATCTGAAACGAGTAACTAGCTATAACTAATCCCACCCATACCCGACATGTACATGGTAACCGGACAAAAATGCGTGGTATGCCATATGATTAAGGCACATATGATACGATAACGGCTTTCCTCTCATCTGGGATAAATATGAAAATCCTATTTTTGCGAGTGGCTGAGCATCGATATTTGATGTTCATTGGAGCGTGGAATATTGCCCTAGGTCACGACGCCGAGTTTCGTAACTAACCACTGAATTGACGTGTATTTATAAGTTTTTATCACTGGCCCACGTGAGTGTGATGATTAATCTCGGCAAATTATCTCTCAGTCTGTAATAGAGGCTTTGCAGTGTTGCGATCCGCAGACGCTAGCCGCGATTGTGAAGAATATTCTACTGGGACAGTTATCAAAACAAAACAAACTGATACTGTGATAAATGAATTGTAGTGGGAGCAAGGTGGTTACCGGTAGGTTGTTGAGAAGTGAAAGGTCCTTATGACCCTATAGTGATCTAATCAGATTGCCATACTGCTTCTTACGTACGGTAAGTTAATTAGTGTACATGTACAGATGTATGATTATCAATTATCGTCTATTAACATACAGTAGACGTGACTGGGTTTGTCAGTTTGCTGGTTTGTGGTTGGACTTGGAATACTTTCGGTCATGTCTGTATGGATAAATTGATAAAATTATTGATAGATTTATCATCGCAGCACTGGTTTTTGCTTGTCAGTGTCAGGTTTTTCATATAATTAGTTGCCCATCAATACAATCCAGCACTCACTGGCCACATATTTAAAGTGAATAAATTGATATAATTGTTTCATTTCTTTATTTGTTATTGTTACTCTGACAAAAACCTTATTCTAATGTCCTAACTTATGCACTGTGTCATGGGATTTTATATTCAGTTTGTATTTCTGGTAATTCTGTATATACATCTTTATATTGAGGTCTGGTCCTTTGCATAGGATATGCAGGAATGTGATCACTCGACCTATTTATCCCAATGTTGTAAGTTCATTGACTTTAGTCAGTAAGTACTAGACTATTCGATTCAACATCTTAACATGAGGTTTATTGGATTAGATTACAATCATGTTAGGATTAAATTCTTTCGTCATCTTTAAATTCACCCCTCAAAAGCTGCAACTCGTATTGTATCAAGATACAGTGAACATGGGAATTTTTCTACTTCCATTGAATCGTTGCACTCTTATCAAAGGGTTCAATTTGGCTAACAAGTTCACATTTATTTAAAGTATCAGAAAATAAAGCGAGTGATGTGCTAAACACTAACATAATAGAAAGAATAATGGGAAAATTTGCCTTGTAAAGCCTTTGATACAATGGTTACCTTGAAAAAGTTCGGTTTCAGTTTTATGAAGTTATTCGAATACCTTTAGTCATGTTGCTATTGTATTACCCTGCTAGTCAGATTCATAATCATGTTTAACGTTAATATAAATATAATCTCTAGAACACTGTTTACAATTTACAGCTAATTCAATAAACTGCCATAATCTAGTGTGAAATTTTCTATATTTTATTATCTTGTGTTTTGATTTAACAATTGTGAAACACCATGAGTTTGGACACAGAGCTCATAGTTACCATGCCACCATGGAAAAGAGAATTCATGGAAAAGAAACGAAAAAAAGAAAAGATGGAAGAGTTAAAGGTATTTTGAATTCATTTTTTGAATTATTTGTTTATTATGAAATAGTGGAATTAAAATGTTTATGAAGAGAAGAGGTTTGCCCATTTATTAACCTTTGGTATTATCCAAATTTACAATCCTAGAATACTAACATAAAACTTGTTTGCTTTGAGATAACAGTCAAATTGCTTATGCAATATTTGTTTAATTTCAATCAATGCAAATGCTACCATATTACGTTCCAGTAAGTCACAGTTTGGAATGGGATAAAGACATAACATAATAGATTGGCTTCTAATATAACCTTTTATTCTAAATAAAGTGACTGTTTGTTGCCAGAAATAGTGCAAAAAACTATAATTGTTATTGAAAATAAAATCCTTAAGACACGATATTTAATTGAATGAAAAAAATTTACGTATGTCATGTAGTAGGCAGTCAATATTGCCATGATTCCATCTGAAAGTTCGAGTGATTAAAATATATATATCAATGAGGACAATGAATAAATATTTTGTTTTGAGCTTTTGAAATATACCTTTGAAATAGTGTTGTATGTTTATAATTACCTCGAAATTTTATTTATGGCATTGTGCCATGCATTAATCTCGTTTCTGTGAATTGTGTTTTATCTACTTAAAAACACATTGGTAAATTATAATATGCGAATAATGCGACTCAAACATAAATCCAATTACAGTGCTTATTTTAGTTCTGGTACGAAGCATAAACTCTTATTTGGACTTTTGGAAATTTTGTTCAAACAAATTACAAGTCTGTGAATTCACATTACTTTTATTGCTATGGGATCATGTTTATAAAATAAAAGTCATTTTTGTACTATCTACATATGGATATCTTTATTTTCCATATGTCCTAACGATTAATAAGCTATTAAGAAAACCAGATATTTGCGAGTAATATGGGGAAAACTCCAATCACAGCACCACGCTTTTTGTCAGGAAATAATGTGTGATGGATGAAAACAGTAGGAAATCCGTTATTATGTTGGTATTTTATTATACTGTACTAATTCTCTTATAGTAACACTGTCAGAATTTAATAAGCATCAGCTTTCAGCAACAGCCCAACACTTTATCTAATCTTATTTAAATAGAAATTAAGTTTGACTTTCGTGATCAAATAGATCCTCTATTTATTTTGAGTATTTACATTCCCAGTTTATTTTAAAGATTGCGAAGTAGATATATTTGAATGAAACCAATTCTTCACGATTTTGTGTACAGGCCTAGTTCTGTGAAATGTGGTAGACATGACGTAAATGGCACAGTTTGACGGTGAAGTGTCACTGATTGTTTCATAAATTGTTTTAAAAGTTTAGATATTGATTATGGCTAGGTGGTTGTGCTGTATAGTTTTAACCAGTGTGGCGTGATTATTGATAGGCAAGTTACTCGAAAGTTGTTGACTATTGTAATGTAAGCATTGAAGTGCTATAATAAAGTTATAAAGTGGGTATAGTTGGATATTAAAAGTATTGTTTTCAGGTTTAGAGTCATTGAAAGGCATTTTTGAACAAACGACATGGAGATAATAGTTTTGTCAGCATCAACACTTGACTGTCTGATTACTAATATTAGTAATTTGACATTGCATCCACATTTATATTACCCAATATGTAATATAATACCATCAGATCGCCTGAGGGGTTTTTATTCACTGTAAGACGTCGTCGTTTATTCCTAATCAAAACTAATCTACTAAACATAGTCGAATTGCTCTTCCATTTACATACATTCACATCATCTAATTTAATGTAAAATTTATTCACATTTTTACAAGCATATTCGATAACGAAAACGGAACGTTTAAAAAAATGCATTCATTTTCATTCACTAGATGTCATTATATCATACTGTACCTTGTACTCCTTATATTTGTCATAAGAATAGAGCTTGGCTCATCTATTATGGATAATATTTATTCCCATGCTTATAGCTTAAATTGCCTGGTACGTTGGTTTTGCTGGGTTCGTTGCGCTTATTTCCCAGTTCGGGGAATAATTTGCTTAATCAATGGCAACTGAACATTGGAAATAGAAGCATTAGCGTCAGTGCTTCTATAAATTCCATTTATGATAGAACAAAAACAACGAGGTTAGAAAAATACACTAACCACCGGAAATCCTTATATCACGCATTTTTGCGTTAGGAACCTTTAGATATTATTAGTCATTTTTAGCCATTTGCCATGCCAGCTGTAGTTTTGTAATAGTTTTGTTGCTTTTATAATCAGCAACCATTACAGTTATAGTATTAAATTTAAATAATCTGGTCTTATCGAGTCTATTGTCTGATAATAGTTAATTCGTTGGTAAGAGAATAAATTAGTTATAATTTCAAATTGAGCCAAAGCACTAAAGGCGACAATGCTTGGAACCGAACACCACCTTGAAGAGCAGGTATGTTTTAAAACGAGTCTATTTGTTTTACGAGCTGTACAAATTAAGTGATAATAGAAGGTAAGTCAGAAACTGTCGTCGTCAAGATACTTTATGGGCGTACGGGGAATTTTTATGATTCAGGGAACGGATGTTTGCTGTACGATTGAAAAGTTTTATTCAGTGCTATATTATGTCGATCAATTATAAACAAAAAACTCGCTCCAGTTCTGCCTTTTGGCTTGAATATATGAAAATGACTTTTATGTGAAAAGAATGCTGTTCTTGAATTTGACATGTCGTTCAGCACTCATTCAAAACATGGTCTGACATTGCTTGTGGCGCATGGTATTGGCTATATATATATTTTCACGAATTTTGCAATCAGTGGCACAACATTAGTATGTGATAAATTGGCTTTCTGAATAACACAAGGCTGTGTGTATTACATCATTTGGTATTCGGAGTATTTTGACAGCTTGTATAGTATACTGAATTACATTTATTGACTTATAACATTCCTCACAGTCGTCAATGTTCGAGTATTTCCCGCAAATTGCTTGCTTGTATGATACAATTATTTATAAATGATGCATTGATCTGCTAGTTTGGAGGGTAAGCCCGCGAAGTTGTTAATTTTCCATGCAACATTCAAGGTTGCCTTTTATTATACTATCAAAGGATCATTCAGGCTCCAATTTTCAACATTTGACATGCCTTTAATAAGCGGAAATTTAACGACCTTCGGATATAATTGTAATGCTAATCAGTAATCTGTAAAATACATTAAAACCGTGTCATTGTTCGCCTGATCTCCATGCTGTACGGATATAGGGAAGGGTAAAGGACCATCGAACATTTTTCATAAATTGATTTCATATTATTACTTACTATCAAATATCAATGTGTTAAACGAGTTCGACACGTTTATTATCGTTTTTTCTGAAACAGTTTTCGACAATAAACAAAAAGGAATTATAAAATAGCCTGCAGCTAGAAATTTCGTTGATGTAGGCTACAATATGAAACTTCCTACTCGTCAACAGCGTCATTGTCTGAATATAATTTATAATTTAGGTCATAAGTTCCGCATGTAAAGGAATTTTGAAAACAACAAATCGATTGGTCTAAGTTACTGACTGCCCATTCGTTATAAAAGGTCATAAAATCGCTGTTCACTATCCATGAATAATATCTACATGTCTTTAAAGTGAGCGATAAACTTTTATTAAGGCTTTAATTTGGGAATAGTCAGTAATTTAAATATACAAAAGTCCGGTATGAATATATGGATAAAAAATAATTCTGTGACCTGTTGGTATAGGCTTGGTAACTGTATGTAGGATGTGTATCAACAAATCAATGACCTTCGTAATCGTAACAAACTCACGCGTTCGTGTTGATACTTCTAACGAAAGCATCATCATATCTCGTCTTAATTAAAATCGACCACTCACCCTGACTTAGCGTCGATGCTTTATTGTGTCTTTCCCCCTTGAGACCCGACTCCCTTCCGTCAATACTAAGATTAAAAAGAAAATAATATCTTGTCGATGGTACTTGCCTCGTGGGACACTACTTCAGACGAAGCTTTTCTTACAGACTAGACATATTAAATTTTACTGTATAACACAATATATGGAACTTATTTCGACTTTGTTTGGTTTTCCCAAAATTGTCAAGTGTTAAAAATACCTTCTTATGATGAAACGTTTATCATTATGACTTCATTTTCAATGTACGCATGACATATGTTGCTAGGTACTTAATTATTTATAGATACAGAGAATTACGCAAGCTAGCAAAAATTAAACAAGTAATCTAAACGCCTCATCCGACACAAAAGTGAAAACTATTGTGAATTTTAATGTCACAAACGGCATTCGCAAGAAAATGAGCTAGCGCCAATTCTCGGTGTGTGTGGTCTTAGCATTGTCAGAGACGAATATCGTTACATCCGCAAATCGAATGATATGAAATAAGAATTTTTAATAAAAACATTGTTTATAATTGAAATAGCAAATTAAATTACCCTTATCAGACTTTGGAAATCGTGGGAAAACAACTTATTACACCAACAAGACTCCTTGCCGATTACTATTTAATTAAAAAAAACACGTCATCTACGATTTTCCTCCCTGTCACGTACACCAAATGTTTTGAAATAGCAAATCCAGTTTTCTGACGTGAGATGTTTATCGGAAAAAAATGCGATTATGCTTGCCTATCTGCATTACGAATATGCACCAACGAGACAGCTGGTCCCTCGAGGTGGCGTAAGTCGCCTCGAAGTCTTAGCATCTGACCCCAAATTGGCGGCAAAGTTGATAGACCGTGACTCAAAAGCCAATTTTCAGCAGTTGTTTGATTCATAGCCATACCGCGTTGACTTCAATGTACTCTTAAATTCTTGTGTCCTATCCTGATGCGAAACAGAATTGGAGTCTTTCGTATTTTCATTTCATTGTTATATTTTATTTTTCAATTTTCGTAACTCGGACCAGCGTAAACTTATTTTCTGATCCACTTGTGTGGTGCCACAATACTAATGTTTTTTTTCACCAATTTTTTAAAGTTTTGTGTTGAAATATATATATATCATTTTTCTCCTGTCGTTCGG